CACCAAAACTGGAACCTATCAGAAGTGTGTACTGAGGGGCCGGCCAGAAAGCTCAGTAGATTAAAGTGCTTGCTTAGGCAGATGCAGCAACTGGGGTTCAATCCCCAGTGTGCTGTGCTGGCCCTATCCCTGGTGCGGGCTGAGGAAGGACTGAGATTGGGCGTGGTGGCACATGCCTGTAATCCCAGAGTTTGAGAGGTTGAAAACAGGAGGATCACTGTAAGTCTGATCTATGCAGTGAGAGCCTGTAGAACCTGTATTAAATACATTTTTTTAAAAAAGAAAGAAAGAAATGTGTACTGTCTGAGAGAATTCAATGCAAAGAGAACAGTATCTCTACTTTGGTGTTCTATCAAAGATGCAAAACCTGACTCTAATTATGGAGAAATATCAGACCAACTCAAAACTGAGGAATACCCTACAAAATAACAGGCTTGCCATTTTCAAAAATTCAAAGATCAGGTCAAGAGCTGTAGCTCAGTGGTAGAGCACTTGCCTAGCATGCATAGTTGCTGAATTAAATTCTTGATACCTTCCTTATACTAGAAAAAGAAAAAAAAAATCAAAGATCAATAGTCAAGAAAGACTTAAAAATTATGCCACAGAAGACTGAAAAGACATGATGACAACTAAATGCAAGGATAAAAACATGTAATTCTGGACCTCCTTGCTTCAAAGGGTCTTACTGGAACAACTGCTAAAACTTGAATAGGGTCTGGAGGATTCAGGTCTGATGGGGTAGCAACCTACCGACACACACTTCCTGGCTTTGAGAACTATTTCGTGGTTACATAAGAAAATGTTCCTCTTATAGCTCAGCATATCAGCAACTTCTGACAACTGCCAGTTCTGCTGATACCCAGTACTATTATGGACACTGGGTTATATTGGGTTATTTTGCTGAATTCAAGTACCTACAATATTTGAACTGGCACCAAAAGGTCCTTTAAAGACTTCTCCAAATGCAGCTTTTCTAACAGCAATGGAACACTCATCTCTTACAAAACAAAACAAAAAAGGGGAATATAAATGAAGGATCATTTTGTAGTGGAAAAAAAAAAATATATATATATATGAAATAGGATAGATATACAGCTACTTTCTCTTAGTTCAGTGAGAAGAAAGGTTTGTACTAATATTGTTTAGACAAGATATCATGTCTGCATCTTGTACTCTGAATAACCACTATGAAGTCAACAATAGGCAATGTATCAATTATTGTAACTGTCCTACTAACCTGTTTTGAAACTGTCTCATTGCTATTGCTTTCTCATTAAAATTAATGAAAAAAATTTTTTTAAAAAAGAAAATGTTCCTTGTTAAAATATGTATTATAGGACTCATGGCAGTGGTGCTACATAGTTTCAACTCATTCTTAAATGGTTCACAAAATAGAGCTCTTTGCACCTTCTTGAAACTTGTCTGACTGCAAGGCTATTAAAAATAATATTGGGCTCAGAAACGGCTCAGTGGTAGAGCCTTACATGCATAAGGCCCTGGGTTCAATCTCCAGCCCCACAAAAAAAAATCATTATTTTATTTTTATTAGTACATGTTTGGAGTACATAATGATCACACTCATCGCAGGGACTTGGTACAGGCAAGTAATGCATCTTAATTCTTTTTACTTCCCCATCTCATCTCCTCTCTCCCCTCACACAAAATTAACTAAACATAAAACTAAGTACCTCAATCTCACACACATACCTCTATGAAAAAGAAAAATATGGAACATTCATAATTTATTTTATGAATTTTAAAATGAAATCAAAGGCCCCATAAGAACTGAAAGTTAAATCTCACTTATAAACATAGAAATGAAACCTCTAAACAGGGTAGTCATGCTGTGACTTTGACAAGGCAGGAGAAAGAGAATCATTCTAGGAATTCAAGGACTGCTTAACATTAAGAAATGTATTAATAGCACAACTCACAATATTAATATATCAAGAGCAAAAAACCTGACTAATTCAATTGATGAAGACAATCCACTTAATAAAATGTTAACAACTATTCATGATAAAAATTATTTAAAAACCATAGGAGGGAATTTCTTTAACTTGATAAAAAGTATTTATAACCCTCAGCCCCCACAATCATACTTATTAGAAAAGTATCAGAGGATCATGAACATGAGAACAGCCTGGCATGGTGGTACACGCTATAATCACAGCACTTGGGGAAGCTAAGGCAGGAGGATCACCATGAGTTCAAGGCCAGCCTGGAATACACAGTGAATTCATAGATACTCTAAACTCTATGAGATTGTCTCAAAAAAAAATTCAAAAAGAATATGGCAAGATCTTATATGTCCTGAGTCTTAATTGACCTTGGAAGGCTAGGGTCAAAATGCTGGCTTTCCTTGTAGCCCTCCTTTTTCTCTAATTTTGTTCTGCAAACTTAGGTTGTTAACCCTCCAGAAGAGAAGCTTATTGTTATTACCATACAACCTAGGCTATTAAGCTTAACCTCACTATCTGTCTGAATATCAAATATCTTAGGCATAACATGGACTGTAACATCATGTAACTCAGTAGTATCCCAAATTTTCTGATCAAGGAGATTATGGAGCCAAAGAGGAAAGTGATAGATGACGTACATTGTGCCTAAGGAGAATCACATGGAAAGAAAACATTCTCTCAGGCTTTCACAGGGAGCACACTGGCCAAGCATTGGCCGTGACTCATCCACATGGCCGACACTGACAAAGGATCTACTATCTGAGGTACAGGATCTCAGGATAAATCCTGAGGGGATTTCACTGACCTTATCAGATCCAAAAGCTACAACTTTTGTTGCATAGGTCTTGCTTTATCTTGGTCTTAACCATCCAGCAGAAAAGTATAAAAACGAAGTAAAAGAAGTAAAGCCATGTTATTATGTTGAGCTGTAGGGGACTCAGGTCAACAATTTCTGACACTGCCCGTCAAGCAGAAGACCCAATACTATTATGGATTACTGGACTCTTTTAGAATATTTTGCTGAGTTAACACACCTATAATATTCAAATGACAAAACTAAACAAAAAAGGGGATATATAAATGAATGTCCATTTTGTATCTTGTGTGTTCAAAATGGTTAGGATAGATATATAGTTACATTCTCTTAATGAATAGAGGGATTTGTTGTAATAGTGTTTGTAAATAGGATATCATGTCTGCATCTTGTACAACAAATAACCACTAGGACGACAGTATACAATGTGTTAATTATTGAAACTGTCCTACCAATTTGACTTGAAACTGTCTGATTGCTATTTGTCTGTCAATAAAATTATGGAAAAAAATTTTAAAAAGAAAAAGAATATGGCAATGATGAAGACCCTCTCAAAAAAAAAAAAATTCTCAATATCATAAAAGTAAAGAGGAAGGAAGAGCAGAATGGAAGGAACAAGCCCCATTATTCACAAATAAACATTATCATCTATACGGAATCTGAATCAAGTTATTAGAATTAAGAGAAGGTTACTAGGTATAATATTAATATACAGAATTAAATTTTATAATCAAAATATAAAAAGAAATTTTAAAAGCCATTAACAAAACTCACAGTAACAATTGCAAAAGTAGTTTTAAAAGTTATGAAACTAAAAGGCGTAGAAAAAACACTGTGATGCTTTTGCAGAAGTAGACAAAAGGCCACTGAATAGAAAGGGGGGACCAGAAAGAAGTCAGCATATATATACGAACATTCGCTATTCAAAGAGAGAACCACTGATTTGTTAAAAAAAAAAGAGATAATCAATAAAATATTTACATTACCTATTCATATGCAAAAGAAAATAAAATTAGAACTATATATTACACAAAAAAATTATGGGTGGTTTAGTGAGCCAAAGAAAACTTTAAAAATTTTTTTAAAAGAGAATTACAAGCTGGGTGTGGTGATACACAGCTAGGATCCCAGCACTATGGAAGGCTGAAGCAGGAGGAGGATCATGAGTTCGAACACAGACTATGTGATTTAATGAGACCTCGGTCTTAAAATAAAAAATAAAATGAGCTAAGGATGTAGCTCAATACAATGGGTTTAATCACCAGTACTACCAGGAAAGAAGGGAGGATGGGAGGGAAGGGTGAGAGGAGAGGAAAAAGAAAAATACATATTTTACCTCATATGAGAAACATTAAAAAAAAAAAAAAAAAAAGCAGAGCACAAAGGAAAGGTGATAAATTCAACTATGTTAAAATGAAGCACTTGGTGTTTCTAGCTATTGTAAAAAGATCTCAACATCTGAGTAAAATACATGTAAAGCATACAACCAGTAAAGCTTTTGCATCCAGAATGTACAAAGAATTTATACGAGTAAAAGATCAAGAACCCAGTACAAAGCCAAAGACATGAACAAACACTTTTTAAGAAAGAAAATCCAAGCAGCTACTTAACACCACAGAAATATTCATCCCAATTGTAATCAAGAAAATGAAGTAACAAATCCCATCACTCTCATGCTTATCTGCTCTGAGCATAGGGTACATGAAAGAGAAGGAAGAGACTGTAGAATGTAATTTGGAAATTTAGCACTGTTTTTAAACACTATTAGAAATGAAGAGAATACATAGGAAAAATGCCTACATTTTCACATAAATACAGAACACATCACGTAAGTGGACTGCTTACTTTACAGTAGCCGCTATAAAAATGTGGAAATGGCCCGGGCAGTCAGGAATTACTCCAGATGCCGACATCCTAACTGCACAATCAGATAGAATTCATAGTCTAAATGTCCATGTCACACTAATTATGCTAGTATTATCATCAGTGTCAGATGATGTAATCAACACAATGTCAAAAGCAAAACTTCTAAAACTATCTCAGTGGTTTTTGGTTTTGCCTTGTACTCTATGTCCTACCCAGCTCCCTGTACAACTATGCTTTTTAAAATTTGCACACAAGTGATGAGCTAAAGTACGATGAATTTTCTTATTTTTGAAATTACTATACTGGTAAGAGGACTGAAGAAATGTCTTTAGCTTAAAAGTTAAGCAAAATGACAGTACCTCACAATGCTGACGAGAAGCTTGAATTTCACATTCATATTTGTTCTTTACAGATTCTAAGCAGAGCTCTCTATAGATTCCTGCAACCAAACACAATTACTCTGATTACGTTAGCAGTAAAGCGTTTCATTATCACTCCCGTATAGGAATTCTGTCCTCACCATGGCTTACAGGATGAATCAGGAATTGTAAGTCATTACAAATTTATCTTTAAAGAGTAAAACCAAAAGAGCTTATTTAAATATATATCAAACATGGCTAGAAACTACGAATTCAAGAGTTAAAAGAAACTACACTGCTAATTTTTGCTCTTGCTTCATTCTTCTAAAGAATATAACACAGGGCTGGTGAGATAGCTCAGCAGTCTGCAGCACCTGCTTAGGCAAGCTTAGGCAAAAGCATAGGGACAGCGGTTCCATCCCTGGCACCACATGCTGTGCCAGCCCCGTCCCCAGGGTGGGCTGAGCTGGCCACAAGATAAAAAAAGAATACAATAAAGAATGATCAAAGTGAAAAACAAAATCCGTTTCCTATGAAAAATAATCCCTCAGCCTTCTTATAATAGGAGGACAATAAAATCTGGTTTTCATCAATTATATAAACTCAAAGTCACAAATGGGTACCGTATTCCCTCAAAACCACTTTTTTTCCCCACCTCCAGGTATGGGGGATTGAATTCAGGGCTGTTCTGCTACTGAGTTACAAGCTTTTAGAGACAGGGTCTTCTTGCTAAATTGCTCAGGCTTGTTTCTAACTTGTAATCCTGTTGCCTCTGCCTCCCAGTGCTAGGATTACAGGCAAGTGACTCCACACCCAGCTAAAACCACTACTTTAAAAACTATTAACTTATGTTCAGAGTCCAAAGTGAAATGTATAAAATGATGTATGGATGTATAAAATGACATAACAAAATCTATGATGGTCCAAGTAATCCTGACAGGTCTTTATGGAGAGAAGAGATGCCAAAGAAAGTTTATCTTAAGACAACAGTATAAACAGGCAACATGGCCATGCAAACATGCCATCCCAAAAATGGGAAACAAAGAGCTCTAAATGTGTATGCTAAACTTCATGCTGTAAATGACCCTAAAGACGTAATTTGCCCTCTTTGTATAGTAAAGGCATGGGACAGATAGCTGAAAGTATGCTATGACCAGTATATTCATATTCTTTGAAATCAAAAGGCAATGGTGGTCAGAGTAGAAAACTGAGTAATTCACTCAACTACCGTATTTCATGATCCTTCACTTCATCTCAAAGAACATCAAAGAAAATGAGGGATATTTTTACTTTTAAGGTTAAGCTAAGTTGATATACAAAGATGGTAGAGGGGCTAGGGAGATAGCTCAGGTGAATAAGCGCTTGCCTGGCAAGTGCAAGCGCTTGAGTTCAATCCCAAAAAAGGTAGATTAATTACATCATTTATACATCTAATATTCAGCACTTAAGAATAAAATTTACTTTTAGGTTGGTTTTAGTACAAGATTAACTTATTATCAATAATGACTCAGGTATTATTTAGCAGGCACATAAGGACCCCTCAGTGTCCCAGAAAAGGAAAAAAAACGCCCCAACAACTTTATGTATTGAAGTTCACATTTTAGTTCCATTCTAAAATACCATAGTCAAAAGTTTTTGTTTGCTTGTTTTTCTTTTCTTTCTTGAGGCAATGCCTCACTACACTGCCCTCCAGGCTGGCCTCAAACTCTTAGGCTCAAGTGATCCTTCTGCCTCAGCCTCCTAAGTAGTTGGGACTACCAGTGCGCCACTACCATGCCCAGCACCACAAGTGATTCTTTCAATGGATATACTCCATGATTATGAGTGCTAGCACGCAGCACTGAGGCTGATAAACAGAAGACTCCAGTTTCCTCACACAAATAGAGCACATCTCATCTACTAGGGCCACAAGTAACCAAACACATCAAAATAAAAAAGCATTATTAACCTATCTGGTTAAAGGTTAATTCCTTATATTACAACATTCTAATCAAACATTTTAAAAACTAAAAAAAAAAAAAAAAACCCAACTAATTTTTATAGATTTAAAAAGATAATCCCACTACTTGGGAAGATAGGAAAATCATTTGATCCCAGGAGTTCAAGGCCAGCCTGGGCAACACAGTGAAACTCATCATTAAAAAATAAAAATCCTAGACTGGGCGTGGTGCCATGTGCCCGTAATCCCAGCACTTGGGAGGCTGAAAACCTGAGAAACGCTACAAGTCAGATCTATATAGTGAGACCCTGTAGACCCTGTACTAAAATACATAAAAATAAATTAATTAAATAAAAATAAAAATCCTTATGACTCTTACACAAGAAAACAAGAGAACCCAATAATTTATTTCACAGGGAATCAACCTGTGATGGCACCAGTAGCTCTTACTGAAATTTTCGAAATCTCTGATTGCTTTACCAAATGTAAAAGTATCTTTTCAACACTGTCAGCAACTTGAGTTTTTCATTGTGGCATTTAAATTCTCCCACAGCAGCAGAAAAAAACAGGACTTTAGTAAACGAGTTAATAATGAATATAAATGTTTTTATAATGCAGCATAAATACATAAATATATCTGTAATCTCATCAACATTGAAAATGTATTTTTAATCCCCTCAGCAACAAACAACTTGACAAACACCTTTTAAAACTAGAGTGTAGAGTCTACTACATGGAAAAAATATTTCACTTTCCTACCTGCTACCTTGGTACGAATTTGCATATTTTCTTGTAAGGTTGCCAGTGGTTCCAAATATTCTGGAGCTTTTCCAGCTATGACTTCTTGTAGTTTTGCATCCACCTGACTTAATCGTTCTTTATAAAGTCTTAACAAAGCAAAAATTAAGATGTTAATTTAAAAAGCTCAACAAGGGCTAACAATTTAAAATTTCTATATGTTATTTAATACTATTCATATTCTAATAACTTATCAATTATATTATTTGATTTTGTGCACAAATAGGTATGTTTATGAATTTAAATCACCACCAGTCTTCAATGGTTAATTCACAATACAAATTATAAAACTTAAAGCCAGGCACAGAGTATATGTCTGTAGTTGTAGGTACTTGGGAGGCTGAGTCAGGAGGATTGCTGCTGAGTCAGGAGGATCGCTTGAGCTAAAGAGATAGAGGCCAACTCAGGCAATGTAATGAGACCTCATTTTTTCAAAAAAGCAAACTGGACCTGGTGAAATCCTAGCACTCAGGAGACTGAGGCAGGAGGATCACAGCAAGTTCACAGTCGGCCTGGCCTACATAGAGATTTCAAGGCCAACCAAGACTATAGAGTAAGACCCTGTCTCTAAAAACAAAGAAAAATCACTCACCCTTTTTTATTTTGAGACAAGGTCTCACTCCCAGAGGGCTGGGACTACAGGCATGCACCACCACACCCAGCTGGGTCTCTCAATTATATATTGTTTTTGTTTTAACTGAAGATGAGTAAATTAATTCTAAGAGAAAAGATAATTTAAACACTGACTTTAAAAGAAACAAGGTAATCATTTTGGGGTGGGGGGGTTGTAGTTTAGAGAAGGGTCTACAGGGTGTTCCGGGTCTTACTACTAGATCCGACTCTAGTGATCCGCCTGTTTACAGCCTCCCAAGAGCTGGGATTACAGGTGTGCCACCACAGCCAGTCTCAATTGCCATCTCAGCGCACCTCAGGGGCAGGGCAGGCTGGGGAATCCCCGGCCCCTTCGCCTTTGCCCTCCTACTTGGTGCTTTAATCCACTGAGCTACTTGGCCAGCCCTAAAGTGATCATTCTGAATACAAGAAACATTTCTAGTTGTCAAAACAAATAATTCCCTGGCTTCTCTCCACCCTTCCTGAAATGGAGTCACTACAATCTCCAATCTACTTTATTTTTAAAAAGAACAAAGAGGAACTAAAATGACAAATATAAACCAATGCCTTTAGAACCTATTCATCTCAACTATGAATAAAGAACTGGTCACAAAATGAAATACTCAATGTATTAAAAAAAAAAAAGAAAGAAAGAAAGAAAAATGAGGCCAAGGGTCCCTGAAATACTTTTAATTTGCCAGCTATCACAATACAGTAAGTTGGTTTGATTATCAAAGACTAAGCATGTAAGAAAATGCAGTGTTATTTCTGGCAATAATCCTAAGATAAAACTAATCCTTTTCAACAGAAAAATGTTTACACTGCCATTCATTATGAAAGAGCCTTCTATTCCTGGTTTTGTGGCATTTTAAGGATGTCCTTAAAAAACTGCAACCAGATTAAACAATTGAAGATCATTTTGTAATGATTTTCCCATGCATTACTTTTATCACAGGCAAGCACACATCATACTCTCTATCAGAAGCATGGCATGGAGTCACCCCCAGAAGAAACTACTGGGGACGAGCCTGCTGACCGTGCTGGTGTTAGTATAGCAAACAACCGGCCCTTGAACATTTTATGGAACCCGGCCTTCATATTAAATTCTGTTCCTTCTCTCTTAAAAACATAAACCAATAGAACTAGATCATAAGTAAGATTAATTACCTATACCTAATTGTCTATGATTATCTATAATTAATCATCTATAATTAGTTATCTATTAATTACCTATAATTGTCTATAATTACCTATTATCTAGATAATCAACATTATCTAGATAATTAATCAATTAGTTATCTATGATTTATCATTATAATTAGCATGAGAAACATATACAATGATCCCTAAGGGGCAATTCTGAGTGCTAATGCAATAAATATTCTTCTGTTTTTATGATCCCTTTGCAGCAACCATAATACTATTTATAGAATTAACTGCCAAAACAATACAATATCATATTTGGACTACATTTTTTAAAAATTTAAGACATAATGATAAACCAATACATAAAGGCAGAAAAGTACATGATAATTATAACAACTTTAGACAAAACACTCTAATTGGACACAAAGGTAAACTGAACTGGAAGACTTGTGGACCAGCATTTTGAATGAAGAGGACCTATGAATTGATATTATCCTACAAACTAACCTTTAAAACAATAGATTCCTCAAAATTTCCACAGCCTTGGGATTGAAGGATAAATTCAACAAAGGCAAGAATCGTGAGTTTCAGCGGCACCACAGCATCATTTAGATGCCCAATTAATGTTTGCTGGATGTCGAACACTAAAGTGAGCGGAAACCTGGACAGCCCAGATGCCTCTATCTGCTAAGGAAGGCAGAGAACTCGCCTTCCACCACCACACAAACTGCAGATGCTGAGTGTTCTGCATTCTGAAAGGAGTGCTACTGTGCCCTGCGGTTCTAGAGCAGGAGAAGTAGGATAATTATTGCTATTATATTTCTTAGTAAAGAAAATCTGAGACAGCTTATAAAGATAGAATACAGCAGGATAAAAACAGCAAACAAGGCAATTAAAGCAAGACAAAAATGATTATAAAGCTGGTGTAAAAAAAATAATTTTTTCCTGAAACATTTCTAGAAACCAATTCCTTAAGAAGGGCCCTTCCAAGTTGCTGGTCATTATCTACTTCTTATTTTATTGTACTTTATTTTTTTTTTATGTACTTGCTACAGAGTCTCACTATGCAGCTTGGACTCACCATGATCCTCCTGTTTTCAGCCTCCCTAGTGCTGGGATTACAGGCCTGTACCACCATGCCCAGTCTCAGTGGCCCGTAAGGGAGGGGGAAACGCGGGGGGGGTGGAGGGGGGTGACAACTGACATGGCAGCCAGCCCTCCGTTATCTACTTTTTAACACTTTGAGGGAAGAATAAGGCCAGTGGGGGAACTACCTGGAAACCATGGGAGGGCAAAAGTCAAGGCCTCATTCCATCCTAATGACTGAGTAGTTGTAAGTTTTTCTATGTAATGTGTATACTAGAATTCACAGTAATCTCCATTTCTCAAATAATCTCAAATATACTTAAAAGCTCAGTAGGTGCAACTTCACTGCATGGGAATCATTCATTCATAGGTTGCTTATACTAAAATACAAAAACACAAATTTGATTCCTGTTTTCCAGGATGATCCTAGATGAACCCTCTATGTTGCCTAAATAATATATGCTTTGGGGCTCTAAACTAATTTTAACTTAAAATTAGTAATATAAAACTTTAGAATAAGAAATTTATACCATAGTTTTCAAGGCATAATTTTAAACTTTGTATTATTTTGGATTATTTATATTAATTTGTTGAGCTAGCATAGGACATTTATATAATTATGTCTAACACCACTTAAAGTTAAAAGGAAAAATTATACAAATAGTTGAATTAATATGGTAAACAAAACTGTTCTATTTTACTTTTTTTTTAGTTTTTTTGAGTCAGGGTTTTATTATGTAGTTCAAGCCAGCCTTGAACTCACTTCATAGCCAGCCTCCTGTCTCAGCCTCCCAAGTGCTGGGATTATATAGTCATGCCTGGCTTTAGTCTATTTTAGTATAATTCCAGATATATTAAATGGGTTTTTACCTTTTATTTTCGGCCTCTTTAGGGATGTACAAGAAAAAGAATAAGCAGGAAAATTATAAAGAATTCACAAACTGAACAGCCAGCTTCTGAATAAATGAAATGTCCACATTCTCAGAAGTTTCCCACTTGCACTTACAACTCCTAGTTCATAGCTGTGCGCACGTCCACACCAGCAAGTCCAAAGTGAAAGCTCTCTTTTCCTTTAACTTGCACTTGCATCTATCTATCTACCTTGGTTGTCTCAAGTCACACCCCCACCCCTGCCCCCGTATTAACAATCTCACTTAAGGATTCTTGCAGCGGGGTGGACAACCCAGATCTAATGAATACCCACCATATGCCACAGCCAAGCCCCAAGACTGTCCCATATTCTTCCTCAGTCCTCATGGAAGGTAACAGCAATGTTATTATCAACTTAAAGCAATCAAGCAAGCCTGGATTCCCCACTTTTCTTTGTTCTACACATTTCCTCCCAAGTAGTGTGCTTTAGTGGAAGGAACAGAATAACAATAGCACTAGGAGACAAAAGGTCTAGGTGTGTTGAACATTTTCTAATACAGAAATCAGCCTCTCTAAGCTTCAGTTTTCTCATAGGTAAAACAGAGATAAGACTATCTTCCAACCTTACATAGTTGTTGCAAGAAGCAAACAAAATAATACACATGAAACATGGCATGTATGTACAGACTACACAAGGTTAAGATATAAACATAATCACTTCAGCAGACAGAGAATTTTTGAAAATACAGCAAAATGGAAAATCCCTCAACAGCTACACAGAACTCTTTATACTCTGGCTCACTGCCCAAAAGAGCTGCCTCCAAAGCTGTGGCTTAAAGAGGTCTTTGGCAGGTAAACAGTGTTGGAACCTCTTTCCCATCAGTCAGTTCTGTGAAACACAAAAGGGAAACAGTTCATATGAGGTCACTGCTGTCGGGCTAGGACTCACGCCACCCAAGTGAGTGGGGTCATAACCACCTCCTGAAGTTCCTACTTACTGATCTTTGAGATCCGTAAACTGTTTTTCAAGATTGGACATTTCATCTAAACACTCCATCCTTCTTCTTTCACAGTCTTCATCATCCATTTCTATTAATAAAAAGACAAGTATCAAGGATAAAATTAACTTTGTTTCAACTATATCTGAGCTTAATTCAAATAGGACACAAAACCATACGATAAAGTTAGACAAACTTTAAGAGAAAGTAAATAAGCAGGCATGGTGGCTCACATATGTAATCCCAATACTTGAAAGGCTGGGGCAAGAGACTCACAATCACAAGTTTAGAGTCCCTCCTGGGCAACTTAGCAAGACCCTGTCTCAAAATGAAAAATAAATTTTTAAAAAGGCCAGGCCTGTAATCCTAGCATTTGGGAGGCTCAGACACGAGGGTCACTGCCTGGGCTACATGGTCGCTTCAAGGCCAGCCTGAACTACACAGTGAAACCCTAACTCAAAAAAACATTTTTTTAAAAAAAAGGACTGGACTTTCACAGAGAGCACACTGGCCACTGGCCAAGCAATGGCTGTGACTCATCCACATGGCTGACACTGACAAAGGTTCTGCAATCTGAGGTACAGGATCTCAGGATAAATCCTGAGGGGATTTCACTGACCTTATCAGATCCAAAAGCTACAACTCCTGTTG